TAAAGTAAAGTAAAGTAAAGTAAAGTAAAGTAAAGTAAAGTAAAGTACTGGAAAAGTTCTACTCACTAGCAACAGTTCCTCTTCCTCACAGTAGGACTCTCCGTTCCCGCCTTCTCCTGGAACTGGTGGTACGTGGTGATCGCCGTGGCCACTGCCGTGGCCGCCGCCATCTTCATCGTCATCTTCTTGGCACGTATGAGGAAAAAGGAAACACGCTATGGGTAAGGCGAAAATGGCCCTCCAGAAAGGCCACCCATTGTTTAAGTCTTGTCATTGATCGTTTGGGGGGGGGGGTTTCTCATGAGGGGGACCCATCAGGACCCCATTTTATGTTTTCTTTCTGCTCAGGGAAGCCTTTGAGCCCAACATGGAGCAGGGAGAGCTGGTGGTTCACTATCGCGCCCGCAAATCGTACAGCCGCCGGACTACGGAAACTACTTGTGAGTTCCTCTTCCCCACAAATCCAGTGTGTGTCAGGGCGTGAGTTTACACTGAGATCCAGCAAGCTGCGTTCATTGTGGGGCCCTTGGTGCTCTCTGAGTTTGGGGTTGTTGTTTTTCTTTTCTTGCAGACGTTTCGTTACCAAACTAGGTAACCTCATCAGTGCGTATGAAGCGTTCACATTTCCCCACAAATCTAGCAGTTGCTGCCCATCAAGGCAACAGTTTGGGCAAAACTGAGGCAGGCCCTGATGTAGGTGGCCTCTTTAAGTCTTATGGGCAGGGCTGGGCTGCTGGGGGGAGTTCACAGGGGTTCAAGAGAGCCCCTAGCTAAGATTCTACACAGTTTGGAGAACCCACCAAATCCCACTCCTGGCTGGTCCCACCTACCCTGCCCTACCTCTCCCAGGAGTCCCCACGCAGCCCGTTTTGGATGCAGGTATGTGCAGGGTATGCGTGGAGGCTCAGGGAGGGTGAAAAACGGGCCGCCCAGAAGTTCAGGAAGGCCGGAAATGGGCCTGTTTCTGGCTTCCGGAGAGCCTCCGGAGCCCAGCGAGGCCATTTTCGCCCTCATGGAGGTTCGAGGGAAGCCTCAGGAGCCCGGGGAGGGAGAAAACGCCCCCCCCCCCGCCACCATGATTCAGGAGGCCGACTAGGCCATGCCCACCATGGTCCACCCAGTAACCGGGCAAAGAACCCCTTGCTAAAAAAAATTAAGCCCACCCCTACTTATGGGCCATAATCGTTCTGTATATATAACCATCAAAAATCCATAAATGGCTAGGTAGATAATTCAAAGTTCAAAGAAGGTGGTGCTCATGGTGGAATCAGAATCAGCTCAGGAGCATCTTCTGCCCAATTGTCCTTCAGAAGGAGAAAGATCAACCCAACTTAGATAAGGTCTCCACTCATAGCCCAATCAGGAAACTCTGATATAATTCAACCAAGATCTGGAGATGGTGGAAAGCAACAGTAGAAGACTTGCCTTCGGCAGTACTACCTGAAATTTTGGCAGCCTCACTTCCAGCCGCTCTCCAAGACTGGGAAAGTTGAACTATGTTGGCCTCTTGTTTGGCAGATGTCTGTTTTAGATCTCATGATGGCCTGGTCCTCCATCTGCAGAAGAACAAGCCACCAGCAACCCCAATGCTTCTTCCGTGGCATTTAGAAATCGTTCCCCCTTTCCCACCAAGTTTAGACTTTAGACCAAGGGTGTCCAACCTTGGCCACTTTAAGACTTTGTGGACTCCAACTCCCAGAATTCCTCAGTCAGCATAAGAAATAAAAAATGTATCAGCCTAGGAATTCTGGGAGTTGGAAGTCCACAAAGTTGTCCCCAAGTTGGACACCCTTGCAATTTAGACCCTTCTGGGTAGATGATTTGGGTCAGGTCTTTTTTGCAAAATGAATCTCCTTTTCTTCTTGCAGTGAACAGCCTGGGCATCAGTGAAGAATTGAAGGAAAAGCTTCAGGATGTAATGATTGACCGCCATAGAGTAGCCCTGGGAAAGACCCTTGGCGAAGGTAAGTCCTTGGGACCAGTGTCAACTAGGTGCTTAATGGGCCATATTTTTGTCCCAAAGAAAATTGGTTCAAGGCTAGGGCAGGGCTGTGCCATATAGAAAGGGGCAGGAGCAGATTGAAAAATGAAATTCGATTTCATTCTAATTAAGTGTGATTAGACAGTAAAGGGATAGGGTCAACGATGCAGCAAGTAGCAGCTCCAGCTAACAAACTTAGCTGGACCTTACTCGAGGACATTGTGGTGTGAGGCAAAAATGGTGCTTTCCATTTGAAGCCACCATCTTAACTGTTTTAGCCTCTCCTTATGGATGACCTTACCTCAATAATACCTAAATTGGGGAGAGTTCCTGATTGGCTAACCCAGTATTTCTCCTTGTGTGGAAGTGTGGACTTCAACTCCCAGAATTCCCTAGTCAACAAGCTATTGAGCTTTATGATGTGGGGACTTCAGCTCCCAGAATTCCCTAGTCAACAAACTAGTGACTTCAGCTCCCAGAATTCCCTAGTCAACAAACTGCTGAGCTTTATGATGTAGGGACTTCAACTCCCAGAATTCCCTAGTCAACAAACTACTGAGCTTTATGATGTGGGGACTTCAGCTCCCAGAATTCCCTAGTCAACAAACTAGTGACTTCAGCTCCCAGAATTCCCTAGTCAACAAACTAGTGACTTCAGCTCCCAGAATTCCCTAGTCAACAAACTGCTGAGCTTTATGATATGGGGACTTCAACTCCCAGAATTCCCTAGTCAACAAACTACTGAGCTTTATGATGTGGGGACTTCAACTCCCAGAATTCCCTATCCAGAAAGCTACTGAACTTTTAAGACATGAGGACTTCAACTCCCAGCATGGCTGGCTGGGGAATTCTGGAACTTGAAGCCCACACAACAATGTTGCCACGTTGTTCTTAGGATCTCCAGCTTTGCATCGCTGAGGTCCAGTCTGAGAGACTCTTTTTGCTTATGATGAAAAATAATAACCCACCACACAACTAAGATTAAATACATGCATATTTATGGGGGGGGGGGCGAGAAAATAGCCCACACATTTGCACAATTATGCTAAGAGGGGAAAAAAGCCTCAAATTGCATCAATGGAAATCATTGCGTGAATGTAGGCTAGAATTTATTAGAATTGCATAACAATTCATTTCGGCCCCTGGAATTTGTTAGATTGTTGGAAGTCTCTTAAAACGGATGACTTTTTTGGCCTGCTAATTGACTGGGTTTGTTTCATTTGTTTCCTTTGCTATGGTAATTGTTTTAGTCTCCGGGGTAGGCCTCTTGTCCTGCACTGGGCAGCAGCAACTGGGGTGGGTTTGGCCCCTAATCCATTTTTATAGCTTAATGACCTATGAATTGGCCCTAAATGGGGAGCCTGGTTTCTACGGCAACCATAATCATCTACTACTACAACATTACTAAACCCTCTCGCTGGCTCTCTTGCCGTCAAAATAGAACAAGATGACGGGCTGGTTCGTTCATTTAGGTCAGAGGCCTGGCAGAGTTTCCTCCCCAACTTCACTTAGAAAACCAAGAAGTTTCCTCCAAGCACAGCTGGAATTAGTTTGGAAGCTTTTCAAAAGGAGGAAAACATTCGGAGAAGCTTTCGTCAATGGATCTCCCTCCCTCCTTCCTTCCCTCCTTCCTTCCTTCCCTCCTTCCTTCCTTCCTTTCCTCTCTCTTCCCTCCTCCCTTCCCCCTTCTTCCCTCCCTTCCTTCCTCCCCCCCTCCTCCTTCCTCTCTTCCTCCCTGTCCTTCCTTCCTTCCCCCTCCCTCCTTCTTTCTCCCCTCTTCCTCCCTCCCTCCCTCCCTGTCCTTCCTTTCTTCCCTCTCCTTTCTTCCTCCCTCCCTCCTTCCTTCTTTCCTCTCTTCCTCCCTGTCCTTCCTTTCTTCCCTCTCCTTCCTTTCTTCCCTGTCCTTCCTCCCTCCCTTCCCTCTCCTCCCTCCTTCCCTCCTTCTTTCTTCCCTCTCTTCCTCCCTCCCTCCCCGTCCTTCCTTTCTTCTTCCCTCCCTTCCTCCCTCCTTCCTTCCTCCCTCCCTCAATGTCTTCCTTCCTGCTCCTTCCTCCCTCCCTCCCTCTTCTCCCTCCCTCCTTCACTCCCTCTCCTCCCTTTCTTCCTTTTTTCAGTGCTAACTTCAAACAGTCTCTAAATAAATGGTTGTAAGGGCTACCCGCACTATATATTTTTGATTGCCTGGATGTGTTCATTGTGCAGCTCGTTGGCCTTTGGCAACTAAAAAGTCCCTGCAGTTTTCTTGGCAAGATTTTTTTTCCCAAGCATTTTGCCCCTGAGTTCTTCCAAGGCTGAGAGACGAGAACCAGACCAAAATCACCCAACTGGCTTTGGGCCCATCTTAAAGCAGGAATAGAATTCCCTGGTTCCTTCCTTGGTGCCTTTTTACCCACCACAACCAACCGGTTCCCATCCCAATGATAAACATAGTCAGGGGGGGAAAGCAGAAAAACACATTAAACCAACCGTGTATATGGACGTACCAAATTCTTCGCCTTGCAAATGGTTTGGTGGAAGGCCACACCAAAGGGCATCACCCTTCCTGGAAGTTGCATGTTCTTCAGGCTCAGCCAGAAAGACCAAAAAAATTTTTTAAAAAAAACAAACTATAAAGGAAAATCAATTTTCCCTAAATGTTTTTAATTATGGCTCCTGGAAGATTGGCCTGGAATGGAACCCTCCATAAAAAAAAATGACCAGCCAATCCTAGCTAGGTTCATCCCACGCCTTCAAAAATGGACAACAGGAAGACATTGTTGTTTAAAAAAAAAAAACATCTGGCTGATCTCCTAGAAGTAATTTACTACTCAGCGTAGGTGATCTTGTTACTTGCAAGCCTGGGGCGAGGATCAGTCATTTTTCCTAGGGAAAAGCACTTAGCATCTGTCCTTCCTTCCTTATCTGAGCTATCAATTTTTTTTTCCCCTTCAAGTAAGCCAGGCTTCGTGATAATTTCTGCTTTGTGGGAAAAAAATTATTTTGTCATCCCCACCCAACAATATAATGGTGTGTGGGTGTATTTATTCTCTTAGAAGCTTTGGATCACTGGCTTTTCCCCTGCTATGTGACTGGATTTCATAACTTTGCTTTTCTTCCTTGGAAATTTCTTCCCTCCTGGGTTCTGAATCCCAAGAACTTCTAAAAGAAACCCAACCTTTACTAAAATCAAATTAAAATCAATAGAATAGAATGGAATGGAATGGAATGGACTAGAATAGAAAATAGAATAGAATGGAATGGAATGGAATAGAATAGAATAGAATAGAATAGAATAGAATAGAATAGAATAGAATAGAATAGAATAGAATAGAATAGAATAGAATAGAATAGAATAGAATAGAATAGAATTCTTTATTAGCCAAGTGTGATTGGACACACAGAGAATTTGTCTTGGTGCAAATGCTCTCAGTGTACATAGAAGAAAATATACATTCGTCAAGAGCCAAGAATCATAAGGTACAACACTTAATGATAGTCATAGGGTACAAATAAGCAATCCAATCATACTAGGAAACAGTCAATATAAATTGTAAGGAGACAAGCGACAAAGTTACACTCATACAGTCACAAGTGGGAGGGGATGGGTGATAAGGAGTGATGAGAAGGTTAATAGTAATAATAGTGCAGACTTTGTAAATTGTTGGACAGTGTTGAGGGAATTATTTGTTTAGCAGAGTGATGGCATTCGGGGAAAAAATGTCCTTGTGTCTAGTTGTTCTGGTGTGCAGGGCTCTATAGTGTCGTTTTGAGGCAAGGAGTTGAAACAGTTTATGTCCGGGATGTGAGGGGTCTGTAGATATTTTCATAGCCCTCTTTTTGACTCATGTAGTAGACAGGTCCTCAATGGAAGGCAGGTGGGTAGTAATTGTTTTTTCTGCAGTCCTAATTACTCTCTGAAGTCTGTGTCTGTCTTGTTGGGCTGCAGAACCAAACCAGACAATTATAGAGGTGCAGATGACAGGCTCAATCATTCCTCTGTAGAACTGGATTGGGCAGTTTGAGCTTTCTGAGTTGGCGCAGAAAGAACGTTCTTCATTGTGCTTTTTTGATGACGTTTTTGATGTTAGGTGTCCATTTTAGGTCATGTGATATAGCAGAACCTAGAAATGTGAAGGTCTCGACTGTTGATACTGTGTTGTCTAGTATTGTAAGAGGTGTGGGAGGGTTTCTTCTAAAGTCTACCAACATCTCTACGGTTTTGAGTGTGTTCAGTTCCATATTGTTCCGGTTACATCACGGGGCAAGTTGTACAACCTCCTGTTTGTATGTTGTGGCTCAAAGAAACACAGCAACTGACAATCAAATTTGGGCAATCACAATACGGGTAGTCCTCGAGTTAGGACCACAATCAAGCCCAAAATTTTATGGGGCTAATTGAAACATTTGTTCGGTGAGTTTTCGCCCCATTTTATGACGTTTCTTGCCAACGTTGTTTAGTGAATCACTGCATTTGTTAAGTTAGTCACCCAGTTGTTAAGTGAAACTGGCTTCCCCAATTGACTTGGCTTGTCAGAAAGTCGCAAAAGGGAATCGCATGAGTGACCCCAGGGACACTGCGACCGTCATAAATCTGAGACAGTTGTCAAACACCCAAATGTAAATCCCGTGACCATGCGGGATGCCGCAATGGTCATAAGTGTGAAAAACAGTCATAAGTCACTTTTTTCTGTGCCGTTGTAACTTTGAACGGTTACTAAATGAACCATTGTAAGTTTATTTAATTTGTTTATTGAATTTACATTGCCGCCTATTCGCCCATGGCGACTCAACGCGGCCTACAGAAATAAAACCACATTTGAAACAATAAAACTAATAAAAAGAATCATATCTATATATACAAAAGCGAAAGATCACTCACGTGTCATCAGAAAATCTCCAGAACCATAAAGCCTACAAACTTGAAATTTGGCACATATGTTCCTCTTGGCTTCTAGGTGCTCACTAAGAAAAGATTTTTCGAAATGACCATCAGAGCATTAGTATTTCCTATATTATTATTATTAACATGCTCTTATGCTAAGGAGTTCTACCCCCCTCCCCACCTGAAAAGAAATCTCTTCCAAATGCAAAACACAAGCAGAGGAGTTTCAGTTTCAGTTTCAGAGCACCAAGCAGCTTTAGTACAGAACAGTTGAGCTAAGCCACGCCCAGGCTCTTTGCTGTCTCCTTCTTGCTCACACAGCAAATGCTGTTTCAGTTTCCATGTTTCAGTTTCCAAACAGCCCTCAACTCTCATATACTGACAGGATGCTAGCCAGATGAATACCGATGGATGCTGGTAGGCAGAGGCAGAATTCCCCCCCCCCCCTTATTTTCCTCCCAAAAAACTGGCCGATCAGATAGTTTCATAGCGAAGCACGGGTATCCAGCTAGTTCAG